CTAGGCGCTACGCGTGCGGTCGAGTAGCGCCTAGCGCCTAATCCATTAATCGAAATTATACGGCGATTAATCGGCGAGGAATTTTTGAGTTTTTATGTTCAGTTACGGTTTATATATCAATAATGTGTACACAATTTGATTGGGAGTTGTAGTCTAGTGGCTGAGGAGCGTGTAATAATGCCATTGTAACCCGGGTTCGACAGATGGATAACCTCTTATTTCTTTTTTCCTATGTTTTAGGTTAAATAAATTAGAAAATGACTATATTAACCTTTTTCTTCAACCTTCTCCATTAGTTTCTCTGCAACTTCAGCCGCTATTTTTTTTTTTTTTTTTGCGATTTCAGTGATTTGTTTCATTATTCTTGTAAGTTATAATCAAAACACATCAATTCTAAGTCACATACATGATTCTATACCTAAAATCTACAAAATCAATTAGTTTTTTTGTTTTTCCGATTTTTTGGCCGAACAACACTAAACCGCTACGGTTCTGCTCCGATTCACGTGTATTCGGCGATTAATCGTCCGCCTAACCCGCGTTTTAGAACAATGGTTGATGCTGTCACTATCTCTAACCACCAGCGTGTTACACACCACAAAACATCTATTACTTTATTTTCAAATCTCTCTTTCTCTGTATACATTCATAACGTATATATTGTGCGGGTCTTTGATTTATTTTGTATTCAACGTAAATTCATAAATCGTTAGTTTTATAAAACAATTTTTTTTTATGTTTTATAATTTACATATAGAGTAGAATATATTACTTTATAATATAAATGCTTAATAATAATTTTTCATTTGTGCACAATATTATATTAGAAATATTATAACTTGATGCAATTTGATGTAATTGTATTATTCATATATTAACATGTTTTTTTTGTTAATTTATTTTAAAATGAAATAACACACTAAAAATTATTATTTTGCATTAGTTTTTTAAATAAATTTTCATTAATTTTATGATATTTTGTTTTCTTGAAAATTGAACTCTCGAAATTTTATATTTAACTAAATTAAATAAGGTAATACAATATTTAAAAATTAGTTTATATAATATGTATTATTTATTTCAGTTTGTGTTTTTAAATACAGTGGAAAAATCTGTAAAAAAATACAAAAAGAAAATATTTCTTTTATTGTAAATATAATGAATAAATGCGCAAATAAAATAAAATATTTAATATGATATCCATGTTTCCAAATAATTCTCATTTATCATGATATCTTTATTTCCAAACAGTATCAAAAGGTAATTCAATTTTAATAAAATAGATAAATCAAAAAGTACTGTTAGGTTAAGTAGCAAAAAAATATTAGAGAATTTTTCATTGTTACCTAACAAAAATGTTGACAATTGAAACAAAAAGAATTGGATTTAAGGGGCTTTGGACACTTTGAGCCAAACCCAACTAGATATTAAAGTCCATCAAGCTGACAATAAAATCATGGACTAATATAGAGCATTGAAGTATTTAAGCAAAGGCCTATTAGCTCAGTTGGTTAGAGCGTCGTGCTAATAACGCGAAGGTCACAGGTTCGAAACCTGTATAGGCCAATGTTTTTATTGTTTTTCAACAATGTTCTTAAAAAAAGCCCATCAATCCCACGGAAAGCAGGCTTTCAAATAATAATATTTTTAAACAATATTGTCAAAGTTCTAAATTATGTTTTTATATTTATATATTTATTTGTACTGTTTGTTATATGTTTTACCATCTCCTGTGTGTTTAAAAAAAAATTACCATATCCTAAACATTATTTACCAAATGATTTCACAACAATCATCTAAAAGCAAAAGGATAATTAAGTTCAAAAAACGATATGAGAAGTAACAAGAAACATTTTAAGCCAAAAAAAAAAACAAAGTAACAAGAAACATGTAGAAAAGATCAAAAGGAGTGTGCGTGGAATCTTGAAAATGGATGGATGATCTATTAGATTTTTGTTTTTGGCAAGAAAGAAAAATAGGCATAGGCAATATGGTAAAAAGTTCAAACACTCCTTTCATATCTTTGTTGATTTATTACACGTTTGTCTTATCTTCTTCAATAATATTTCGTGCTTCTTAATGCACATACGCAATCATATTCTTCCATAGAATATATCGATAAATTTCGTAGTCTGCAGATCATGGGCTGAAAGTAAACTTAACTTTTGGAGTTGTGGAAAATTGGCTTTTTGGTTTGTTTCACAAATTCAACTTCGCATATATACTCAATATCGTCCTGTTGACTTACAAAATATACGTATGTGAAAGAACTAGTTATTCTCCATAGGTTAAGATACAATGTTGTTGCAATTACAAAATCTTTTTATTATAGAGAAAAATACGGTTTATACAGAATGTTGTCGCAATTGCAAAATCAATCAAGACCAAAACTACAAATATATTATCTATCCCATTGTTTGTTTTCTCGCCACTTGTTAATGCTAATATGGTTTTCACACATGTCACCCGTACATCGAATATATATTAAAAAAAAGAAGGCTTGGATTTAACTATAATTTTGTCTTGATAGACAGTAGTAGTGCACCAATTCAGCTATCTGATTATTTTTAGATTTAAATAGTTTATGCTGTTGACAAAAGCAAAGAGAGCTAATGCTAATATGAGAAATGGTGATCACTCTTTCAATCCCACCACACCGTCTTGTCTAAAAAAAGTAGGGCATTGTTATAAGAATTCGAAGTCTTGTCTTTCATGGGGCCAAACATTTAAGCCCATTGTGAATAAATACGATAAACTGATTGGGCTAAACGGACCCATCGTGTTCCAGATGATCTTAGTTACTTAGCTTTGCAATTTTGAGTGGATAATTTGCAGAGGAAGATGAACACATGGGAAGTGTTCAATAGAAAGAGACGTGACTGGCAAGAGAAGTATATCCATAAGAAATCAGCTTTAAGAATGCTGAGGTTCACAGCAAAAGAAAGGTACCATACACTTTTCCACCTTTTGTTTCTTTCAACAATACCTCCAAAATTTAGATATTGACTTGACAATCATTGCATTGTGTGGAGATCGTTTATTTTGACAGAAATAGTCGTATACTTTATACGATTATAATGGTATATACTGTTGTTATATTTATGTGTATAAAGTTAAATATATATACGCATCTATGTTTATTAATACGAGAATAGGTTTTATTTTTTATTAACATAAATGCAGAAACCAAGAGAGATATTGGCTAAGATAATGAAATTGGATTGTGGCGTTTTTTATATACCGCTCAAGAAGATATGTAAGTGAATAGAATACTAAATGATTTTTTGTTGATTAGAGAAAATAGACAATTATTTTCATAACTCTTGACCAAATATAAGTTCAATCTTTTTTTACCAACAAGAAGAAAATACGAATTGATATGTTAATTAACAAGTATCAACGTTAACTGAAATCCGATTTTTTTTTCTAATCTTTCAGCAGAAAATGCATATCAAGGATTGGTTAGGTAAGATGGAGATGTACAATAGATGCAACGGTCAATTACAAAACCAGGGGGCTCTATTTCTCATAACGTATCCTTTTCAAACGTCTAAGCCTCAAGACAAAGGCACTTCTCTAGTTATATCTTTGTTGTTGATTGCTGTACAATCAAAACCATGTCACGTGTAATCTCCCTTGACATGTTCCACATGCGTGGGCTCGAATCTCATCTTAACCACTACTTGCTATTCGTGTCATGTCTATGTTTTGCCTTTGTAACCATTTAATATGAAATCTATAACGTGGTGTTGCCTCTTCCCCAAGCCCCGACTTTTCTTCCTTATGCTTCTAGCTAGTTTTTTTCTTTTACTTGGTAATACTTAATCAGTTCTTGTAGGCGTATAAAGACCTTTTAAACTTGATTTATAACCTAAAATATTAATAGGGACTTTTAATATGGAATTTAAAGTCAACCCTGTGGTTTAGTTTTGTTCAACTGAATAAGAGTGGAATCAGAAATTTAGCTAAATGACCAACTGAATAAGATTGTTGTACCCATGAATTTTATCCATGATTTGTGTTTGTCAAGACCTTAATCCATAATTATTTCACTTTCTAGTCTTCTCTCATACTACAACTTAAACTGGGGAATACATTTTCCATAATTTTTAAAACAACTCTCTGTTAGTTTAAGCTTCAATAAAAATGTTATTACATACAAATTACTATCATATAAGTATTTTCTGTTATACATACTTTACATTAATTTGAATAGAGTTATAACTTTATTCAACACTAATATTGCATCCAAGTTATGTGTTTCCCCACGACAGAAAAACCCACAAAAGGGGATCTTTTTAAGAAATCGAAGAATAAAACTTTTATCATCCGTGAAGATCTGTAATTTTGAAATTACATTTAATAGCAGCAATAAATTTCAGAAATACAAATTTCAAATTAGAATTCCACTCTGTTATTGTATAAATATGTAGCTGAGAGTGATGCATGCTTATAAAACGGTAATTAACTTTACTCTCCTAATCAGGGCCGGTCCTGGGCCAAGCCGGATGAAACATTCGCTTTGGGCTCCCAAAATTTTTAGAAAAAATTTCATGTATATAGGCCCCCGAAAAAAAAAATTTTAGGCCCCCAAATCCGACAAAAAGATTTTTTAGTTGAAATCGTTAAAATATCGCCTTAAGCCCCCAAAATTTCAGGGCCGGCCCAGTCTCCTTATCACTAAAATGAGTTTTAACTGTCATGGATGAGTGACTTCAAAAACCAATGACACATATAATTAATCGATGAAAAAACAAAATTCAAAGTTGGAATCCAAGGCAACAATAGAGGATAGCCCCCACATTATCATTTAATTTCCTACACCTTATCAGAAAGCTCATAAAATCAACTGAGCCCACACTCTCCTTCAATTAAGTTCTTCACCCACGCATTTAGTGGGTCACACAAACTCTTATGACATGTCCCTCCAACTTTCTAATTTTTCAGCATTCAGAACACTTAACTGTAACCATATCCGGATAATAAAACTATTGTACTCCATTTGTATTAACGTATGAATATCGCATGATACGTTTGCGAACGTAAATTAACATACATACTAGACCTTTTTTTAATTAATGCTGGAGGAGTTACATAATTATCACATTATTTAATGTTATATAAACATCTTGCATCCTATCATTTCCTCAAATATAACATAGAAAGAGACTCCTGATATCTTCCAAGTTTCTCATCTTCTAAACCCTAATTAAATAATGTCCATGAAAGGGATCTCATCAGCAGAACCAGATAAGATCTCCAAGAGAATATCTTTCCACAAGCCCAAAGATTCTCACTCAGGCGAGCTTGAAGTCTTCGAGGCCGCCGTGTACTTCTCCGGCTACAACGACGTCTCCTCCGGCGACCATAAAAACACAAATAAGTATGTTTATAACACCCCAAGAGAGGAGAATCGAAGGAGATGGGGAATATTAGGAGGAGGGAGAAGAATAAGCTTGGATTTGCCTCTAAGATGTTCAGAGCAGGTGCATCATATCCACCAAGATCATCTTGAGAAACAAGAAGTTACAACAATCAAAAGAAGTAACGTGAGACACAAGCAACCAAGCTCACCGGGTGGGAAAATTGTCAGCTTCTTGAACTCTTTATTTCATCAAACGGGTTCAAAGAAGAATAAGTCAAAGTCAAAGCCAACGGATCTAGAAGTAGAAGAGGAGGAGATCCATGGAGGAGGATGGATGAGGAGGAAGAGAAGAAGTAGTATCAGCCATTTCTTGAGTTCAAACGGATCTAACTCAACCACCACCACAACTACAGCATCATCATCATCAAAATCTTTGTTGTCTTCGGGTTTTAGAACTCCTCCTCCATGTTTAAACACTCCCACCAAGAACTACAAGAAGTTCTTGAATTTCACTTCTGCCACAAACCAAGTGGAAGTTATAAAGGAAAAGAAGATAAATAAAGAGTTGTCTTGGCTTGATGAGAAACTTAAAGTGATGGAGAGTCTCTCAGAGAAAGAGAAGGTTTGGGGTGATGCTGATGATAATGATGATGGAATGGAGAGTGATTCAAGTTCTGATCTCTTTGAGTTGCAGAACTACGAGTTGTCTCGTGGAGGCTTGCCAGTTTACGAGACTACCAAAGTAGCTAACATCAACCACACTCGTCTTTAACTTCTCTCTCCCTCCAAGTGACATGTAATCCATCATCACAGATCTTGGTAAAACCATGGAATATATATTTATTTTTGTTTTAGTTGTTCTTGTCGATTATTCTGTAACTTATATTTAGTTCTTTTGATAAATACCAAGTTTTCTACATTTCTTGTCTCTCGCATGAATTTTTTTTCTTCTTTTGGTATCCATTTAGTTACGTATTTTTCTTTGTAACGGACAATATATCGTTAATAATAATTGCGATAAAGTAAATTAAGACCATTGATGAATAAGAGCCAGAAAATATTATATGGGACCAACAAAATAAAGTTTAACCGGCCGGTTAAGTATGGTTGGTAACTGACACACTTGGTTGGTTTTCTTTTTACATATGAGTTGGTTAGTTTTGAGTCCTTTTTGTCGTTGGTTATGAGTATTGCATCTTATGATGCGATAGTTCTATGCATCTATAACATGAAAACAAAACAAACAAACAAATATTGGGGACCAACAATGATATCCACTTGTATGTTCAACATACATAGACGGTTTTTGTCCTGTCAGGAGTTGTGTCATAGAACTATGATAGATATGACAAAAGTAAAATTAATGTTTTAAGTCGAAGATTGATTTAACCTTAAGAAGATTATCATTTGCTATAAATAAATTTATTAACAAATTAATCGAGGAAAAAAGAGATATCCAAAAGCTTTTGGCATGCATAGATTGCGCTTGCTTTTCGAATTTCTCATTTTAATATATTTATTTATGCATGCATAAGGCATACGCACTAGCCTTTCTAAGGATAATAATGAATGATGTGCTGGTCTTTAGATAAACTTTCCGACTAAACTATTTTTGAATGTGACCAAAAGTTAAAGTATTTTGCTTGCTTAAAATGATATTCTTCGTTGATGAAACTGAATTTTAGAATAATAAACAAAACTATATAGTGATAGGAAATCCATTTAATGAAAATTAGACTTTTGGTCCTGCCGAAAAGATATACAATCTCATTTCGATTATATACTAAGTGAGATAAAGAAGTTAATGTTGCTTTATGTCTAGGTGTATTACATCATGTATACATTATTAGCAAGATATGTTTTTTACTTGTTAGTATTTTTTATAAGTTTTAGGCATTAACTAAATATATCAAAATTAAACAGACGTACGGGAGGGTTCAAATGTATACGAATAAGAGTAGATACATGGCTTTCTCCTCTCATCTAGTGGGTGGAGGGTCCAAACATGTGATTATCATAAAGCTGAGTAATTATGCAAAGTAAAATGGTATGATAATGAACCTTGCAGATAAAGACACTCAAAAATAGTGAGTTTAGATTTTGATAGAGAACTGATTACTTACATCAGGCTGTCATATATACAATGGTGAGTTTCTTAGTTTCGATTTATTTGGTTCGGACTTGCACTAATTTCATTTTTGATTGGTTAATTCAGTATAAAATCAATTATATGTGGTTCGGTTTTAAAAAAAAAGGTAATAAGAAAATTTGGTTCGGATGTCGTTAAAAAAAATTTTGGTTTGGATCCATTCTCTGTAATTTTAGTTTTATGCCTAATGTTNAATGGTGAGTTTCTTAGTTTCGATTTATTTGGTTCGGACTTGCACTAATTTCATTTTTGATTGGTTAATTCAGTATAAAATCAATTATATGTGGTTCGGTTTTAAAAAAAAAGGTAATAAGAAAATTTGGTTCGGATGTCGTTAAAAAAAATTTTGGTTTGGATCCATTCTCTGTAATTTTAGTTTTATGCCTAATGTTAGTCTGCAATTACGTACAAATAGAAATAAGCTCTGGTCTTTGGTCTAAAATGTTACGTTAAAGAAAACATCATAGCAAAAAAAAATGTTAAAGAAAACATGAATTTCCATCATATTCAAATATCATGATGCCAATCTTTTCTTGTGCACTCTACATTGTTGCTTTTAAAACAGAATCATCCTTTTAAAACAACTTTCGTGAGAACTAGAACTTATAGGCGTGGGACTGAGACTCAACCATAAGAAAAGAAACCAAAGCCCTTTGGGACCTTTGTTTATGGGCTTGAATCAGGCCTTAACTATGCTTCGTATTTTGATGGACTTGTTTTGGCAAATTGTAACATACACCATTTTATTATTTATCTCGGTAATTAACTAATTTTACACATCTATACTATTATTTGCAAAGTGATTTTTCGTAATAGAGAAGTTAGAGTGATTAATATCGTTTATACCCTTAATGAATAAAATATATAAATCAGCTAAGAATTAAAAAAAAAATTTAATACTTATTTGATTAGATAAATGATTTAAATTAATAATAATGATAAGAATTATCCATAAACTAAATATATATTTAAAAATAAAATAAAAAATGATAATTCTTATATATATTGTGTTGTTATCCGGAAAATATATTTTTGATAAAAAAATTCAAAAACTTCAAAAGAGAAATTGAAAAAGTAGAATACGTAATTATTTTCAAATTAAAATAATATAATACTATAATATAATGATATATATTCGTGAAGTTATTTTTCCCCTCTGAACTCACACGTTAAATTAAATTTATGTTTATATTTTATATAGTTAAACCTTAAACATGAATTAATCATATAAAATAAAAGATCATTCAAAAATAAAGAAAATACGTGTTTAACAAAAAATAAATTCAAATATATTGTATTATTATCCAAACTAATTTTATTCTTTCTGTAAGATCAATTTTGAATGTATATTTATCAATTCAATTTTTCAAATTGAAAGATAGATTTCTATATTTTTATCAATTACTAAGAAATGAAATAGACTTTAGATTTTTCAAAATTTTAAAGGAAAACATAGATTTGTTTTTAATTTGTGAATAACTTTATCAATGTAAAAAAGTTTAATATTTTAGGTCGAATTATTTGGATGTAAATAATCATTTATTCTGATAATTTTTTAAATTAACTTAAATATAATTAAGTCCGCATGTGCGGACAAAACACCTAGTTCTCTTTTACTTTTGATAAAAAAAAAACACATTCTCTTTTACTTAAGAGTTTTGACAATAAGAAAATATATATCTGAAAGTTACTTATGATGTGAGAAACAATCAAATCATTCATACTTATAATAGTTACATAAGAAATACTAATATAGCAAAGATGAGGAAGAAAAAAGGGACTAGCTTGCCTTTAGATTCCATCATCTGGAGAGTGCGGTTGGTTGGCCAACAAGATGTGCTCTGGCTCCCACCAAACAAAAAATTAAAAGTGCTGATTTTTATGAAAGTAAAAGAAAAAAAAGAAAAGGGTTGGTTTTGTAATAAAGCAACTTCTGACGTTGCCCACACACACGCTCCACCACCAATCTCTTCAACTCGCTGATTCCCCAATATTTTATATATTCTTTATGCGCCCTCAAAGTTTCTTTTTTCTTTTATGGAAACCCCATTCTTTCCTCTTCTATCTTGTGCATTAATTTGGATATTTATTTTAGAAACTTAAAACCAAAATAATGTTTTCAAGTTGCGATATAATATTCTGTTTCCTAGGTTCCTAGGTTGTTGATTTAAAATTGTGAAGCTACCAACAAACAAAATAATTAATAAAAACGTGTTTGTTAGTAGAATATAACACAAAAAATGTTTACACTATGGATTGTGGGTCGTGACAATGTCCATCCACTGTGATCTATCTGTTTGATTGTAGTGAACATATTTATGGCATCATTCATTTAAGTGTGTAAATGTGTTCGAGATAGTGTGAACCCACGACATCATTTTTGCTGTCTGTCTCTACTCAAAAGTTCTGTAATTTATTATGTTTAGGAAGTCTTATTTTAAATAAAAAAAACAGCTTGCATATACAAGTTTCCTGTGTTCAGAGCCGATCAGGGCTATCAACTGTTGAAGCATGAGTCTGAGGGGAAATTTGTCTAATTTACAGAATTATAGTTAGACTAATTGGTTTAGCTTGTTGATACCTCTAGGCAGCATCTCAAGTTGTCAAAGCTATTTTATGTCAAGGCTTTATGAGATTAAACAGTTTCCACAGTCTTTCACATTGCAATAAAATTTCTAACACATTTTTCTACATGTTTTACACTCATCACGAACCAAAATTTATGATAATTTTTTCAATTTAAAACTAATTAATTTATTTTACAGTTTAAATACTATTTAATGTTTTATTTTTTGATAAATTTTTGTAATGCGTTATAGCATGCAGAAATATTTGTTACAATTTCAAAATAATATGTTTTAATTGGTAATAAAAATGTGGAACGGGTCCAACCAGAACCTGTAAAACACAGTATATCCAGTAATTAATCTCACAGATTGTCTTTGAAAATTTCTTATTCAATAAAAAAGAAAATAATTACAGAATAGAGATTTTTTTTTTTTAAAGGATGTGGAGAAGATGGGTGTAGTGGAAATCATGTTGACCCAACAGTATCTCCTTATACGTCACCTTTATTCCTTCAACTCTCCCCTCCATTTCACCTTTTCTTATATTTTCTCCAAATCTCTCTGAGTTTCCCTCTTCCTCTCTGTTTATTCTAATCGGTAAGTTCTTTTTTTTTTCCTCTGTGATCCAAAGTATTAAACTTTATTCTTTAGGGTTTGATTATAATCATCAATCACACCTGGGTTTTGTGCTAATCCAAGTAAAAGTTGGATCTTTCTCACTCCCAAGGCAAAANCTTTTCTTATATTTTCTCCAAATCTCTCTGAGTTTCCCTCTTCCTCTCTGTTTATTCTAATCGGTAAGTTCTTTTTTTTTTCCTCTGTGATCCAAAGTATTAAACTTTATTCTTTAGGGTTTGATTATAATCATCAATCACACCTGGGTTTTGTGCTAATCCAAGTAAAAGTTGGATCTTTCTCACTCCCAAGGCAAAAATATAAATCTGTTAGTTTAACGACCACTACATTAACCTACGTTAATTTATGAATAATCTTAGTGAGTGTAGTCATAATGTACAATTTAGACTTCTAACCATCACCAACACACCTAGCTAGTTTCATTGGAACTATGACACCTTACTAGCTTATAAATAAGACATATGTCCCCTTTATGCATACTTGAAAGTTTTAGAAAATTATAAAATTTAATACCCCATGTTTTTGACCAAAAAAAAAAAAAAAATACCCCATGTTTAGAAAAGGAGATGGCTGATGAGAGAGCATGTATGGATGCTGGATTTGATGCTGCTGTGGGGTAGGAGGAGGCATATCGTGGCCATGGTTTTGCTGGTCCCATTGCTCTTGTTGTGCCCTAAGAATCTTTTCCCTCTCCTTGATCTGACAAGTTCCAATTTCACACACCAATTTGTTTTAAAACTTTCCATACCATTTTATCATCAACATCGTTTTTCAAAACGACGACTTCATAAATAACTAAATATGTGGTATCCGATGTAATTGCATTTTTGGTTACTACGTTGATTAAAAAAAACTCTGGTTACTACTAATTTCTTGCATTGATGCAATAAACTATTATACATGTGTTAAATTTATATCTTCTCACACTGTTCTTACTTGCTACTACAGTTTAGCCCAATATTTTTAATTAGGAATAGCGTCTATAGATTCACATACCTATATATAGAAGACCACAGTAGAATTAGATGAGACGACGTTTTTTCAAATATTTTCAATCCGAGAGACAACCTTAAAACTAAACGGACAAAGCCCATCTACGAACTGGCTGATGATGATTTATATCAATCAATAGACTTTATAAAAAAAATGCAAATATCTTCTATCTATTACGCAATTATGATGGGCAGAACCTAAGTGTGGATATGAAGATCTCAATTCGTAGTGGTAGGAATAGCTTGGCTTGAAGTGTGGAGTAGAACAGTGAAAGCTAACAGTAATGCAATGGAAAACATGCTCACATAATATTTAATAACAAGAGTTACCTGTTTGGAAAGCATGCTGTTTTGTTCCTGTATGGCTTTCTCCTGTCATTTCCAAAAACGCAAGATTGTTACACGAAGTTGCTTTATGTAGACGTACGATTAATATGGTTTTCTTACATACCTTTCTCTGAAGCTCATTGATGGAGTCGTACATAAGCTGGTTCTGCAAAGACAAACATCACCTGTCTTAGTTACACACAAAATGCTTTTAAAAGTCATACATTTGAATCGAATTAATTTTACTATATCCGACCAATACAAAATGCATACAAATATACATACATAAGTATTCTAATAAATATTTTTTCAGATAATAAAACAATATGACAGCATATGTTTAATACGAAATAGGAGGATTCATACTTTTCTAGATCGGATGTGCTTAAGAGCAGTGTCAAGCTGCTGCTCCAGATTCTGGAGCTCCTTAGAGCTCATTGCTTGCAAGTCTTCCCCAAGATAGTGCCTGGATTCAAATAGCGTCCAGGCATGTTCTCCTTAAGCAAATGTATCCATGCATTTTAACACTAATATTGCTACCCGGTTTCATATTTCGTTGTGCATAGCATGATAAATGTAAGTGTGTACCTCTGGTTTCTCTCCAATAGCTCAATCTTAGCCTTAAGCCTGTTATACTCCATCGACCAGTTCGTCTGTATTCCACAAGATTAATAATACAGATATACTTCAGCTATATTGAAATTCGTAGTTACATAATGTATGCAAGTCAATGGAGAGTCATTGTTTTACATTGACATCGGACTCAGGTGCAGTAAGTTGTCTTTCCGCGTAAGAGTACCTCTCGTAGCGTTCAAGTATCTTCTCCATACTGCTCAATTTTCATATCATAAACCCTTTCTTATCATATATTATATGTGTATATATGCATACTTATCCATGTAAACAAGCAAATCATCACGTAATATATATATACATAAACTTAGGATAAGCTCAATTTTCATGACATTTTAACATAACTCTAGTTAGGTCTCAATGATGGTTTTATGCCTCAAACCCTTAAAACAAGATTTGCTAAATCATGTACAGATCTCTATATTTTTCCATAGCAAAAAACAAATCATTAACCATACGCATCTAATAAGTGGACAGGGAAATCTAGTTAGAAACTATACATTATAATTAAACATTATAATCTAGTTAAATCACTAATTTACCTACATTATTTTGTACGAAATAGAGATAATATATTTCTAAATAGAAAGAAGAACAGCTGTTGCTTGTAGGAGCTAAATTTGACCATCGGTAAGAAGCCGAACATAGGATTAAGTTAATTCCTTTCGTGGATCCCCAGAGGTTAAAGACCCCCTACTCAGATTTGACATCCGTATTTCCAGCGTTTTTCAATTGGTAAAATTAATCTAATAAAACGGAAGCAACTATACGTTTAGTACTAAAGTGTTTTGAATTATGAGTTCATACTTCTCAAGTCGACGGAAAATAATTTTGGCTTCTCAGCATTTGCAAGATTCTGGAAAACAGATATAACGTTTCATAATGAGTTTAAGGCTGGAAAAAAACCCTACCCCAAATTAAACATTGATCCTTTAGTCTTACCTCTATTTTGTTTAAAATCCTTTTAAATTACCAGTTTTTTGTTCATCTCATCACATTTTCCGCTTATCTATATTAATAAAAGTCAAACTTTAAAAATTTTAAAAGAAGCAACATTTCGTTTATTACTTGAGTTCATATTCCTAGCTTAGAGCCGAGTGAAACTAAACATTATCTTTCTGGTTACTTTGGCCTTCATTAAAAGTTAGATAGTTGCAAATTTTTGAAAGGCAGCTAGGAGAACAAAACAACACTAGCCAAATAAATCAACATGTATCCATCTATATGAAATAGTGCATACACATACATATATATCCAGATCAATGACGATCTAATGTTTTGTTCTATGGTTAGATCAGTCCAAGTCCAAGCCATAAAGTTATGAGTTTTAATAAATACATATCAAAATAATAAAAATGTTTTCTAGCAGTAATTTACAGATTCAGTAAACATATCTAACTAGTAATAATCCAAATCAAATGAAAACCCTAGAAATACGTTAAAAGAACAGTAGTTACAATTAGGGTAAATCAGGTAGTCAACTTAAGAGAAAATCAAGAGACAAGTAGAGTTATTAAAGATACTTTTGGATTTTAAATGAGAAAATTACTTGTGTTCCAAAAAAAAAAAAAAAAAGAGAAAGTTACCAAGAATCAGTGGAGTATTCGAAGAGTTTCCCCTTATGGGAGAAGACAACAAGGGCAACTTCAGCATCACAGAGAACAGAGATCTCATTAGCTTTCTTCAGAAGACCAGCTCTTCTTTTCGAGAATGTCACTTGTCTGTTGATCTTGTTCTCTATCCTCTTCAATTGAACCCTACCCCTTCCCATGATCCTTTTTTAAGAAATTATTTCCTCTAAAAGAACCAAACAAAACAAGAAACTACAAGAAGAGAGATAAAGAAGAGCTCAGTCTTTGGTATGATCCAATTAGGAAAGTTTTTTCTTTCTTTCCTTTTTAATAAGACTTGTGTTTGAGTCTCGGGATCTTTCTTTCACTCTATATTTATGGAGAGATTTGGGTAAGAGCGGTTTTAGGGAAAAGCTAAAACTATTTCATTTCTTGTTTACAAAAACCAGAGTGGTTTTGTATTGTTGTCAACTTCTCATTGGCTTACTGTACTAATAACGGGTCCACGTTTTCTCATAATTTATTAGAAATGAAGTGAAAAAAGAAAGAAAAATTGATTTTCGACGTGAAGAGAGAAGTATCATTGTACGGACCAGTGGACCATCCCCAAGTGTCACCTTCGCTTTGCATTGACGGCGGAGATTTTCTGTAGATCGGCGAAACAAAATCTAGACCAACAAATATCTAATCAGTTTCGTTTAACTTGTATACTATTCTTTTGAATTAAGTGTTGTTTATTAAAAAATGTATAATAAATATTCAGCGGTATCAGTGTAGTACAAATAGACTCTTTCTTTTTGGGGATAGATGTTTTTGGTAGAGTTGAGAACCATTTGACAATTGTGTAATGTATTGCATTCACGGATTTATACGCAGGATTTAAGGAAAGAGGAGATAAAAAAGAATAACTATTAGTATTCAAACTAAGATACGTATTTTTATAAAGTTCTGATCAATGTGTATTGGCCATGTAGTTTCTAATTAAGCAGTTGATGAACTGGAGTACTGGACAAAGATCATTTTGGATATGTATATTACATTTTTATTATAAAATAGTTAAAGATGAGATGCACACTCTTATAAAGGCCTTCCCAAATAGTTGCAAATTAATTCATAATTTACATACAAGTAACAAAATCTAAGACTAAATTCAAATATTAGCTTTATCAAAGATCTTCATTCGCTTTAAAAGTTTTACTCTTTTTCCAATAATCGAATTTATTTCTGCGACCTAATTTTATGTAATCTATGAGTTAGGTTCTGAAATCATTTTTTTTTTTTGATTAACCAGGTATTGACCAGCCTTCGGCCAATCCACCACCTAGTGCACGGCGTCAGCCTGCGTCTATACCGGTTAAGGCCCTGGACACGCCTCCCCGCCTGCGAATCGAACAGCTGACCTCCCAAGGTCGAGGGGCAGGTACCACTGGACTCGAGT